GCCAGATATGAAATGGATAGCCAAGCAAGGGAAGCGCCAGCTTAAATATGTTCAAGACTTTTTGGCAGCTATTACGGTGAAAGCCAAGTTTAATGAGCATCAAACTCAATCAATTATTTAATTGAATTTTTAAGTATGATCTTAGCAATCAAAATATTTACGAGCATAGATATTTTAAGGTTTGATGAATGAAACTAAATAAATACTTATGAAATAAAGTTTATTAAGAAAATGATTCATGGATTTTGCACAGACAGGCATTTTCTAATAAAACTTACATAAACTATAAATAATAATTGGAAGAAGCGATATAAACTTGAATAGCTATATTTTCAATCTCTTGAGTGGCATAAGTGTTACAGCAATTGACAGCTTAAAATATTTCAATCAAATTTAAAGTGTTTTGTAGGAGCACTTGAATATTTAAGCAAGAGCTCTTTGATGATATCATAGAGTTGATCTAATAGGAGTTGCGATTCGGAGAAAAGGTTCTTTGATATCATGAAATTAAAGGCTAAAGGATTTCAAATTCAGCCATCATGAAACTGTTTCGATATTAGCTTTTATTCAATGTGCAGGGGGAGAAATTTATTCAAAAATATTGTTTTTTTTTTTGTTTCTGCGTCTACAGTACGTCAAGTTGGCCAGTTTATGAAGCATTATTTAAATTAACAAATTTCTAAATATGTACTTAAAATTTATTTATTTATTTATTTATTTATTTTTATTTTTTTTTTTTATTACCAATTAATTCCTATAAATTTATTTATATAGTATTTATTCTTTATTTTATTTAGACCAACTAATTTATGTATTCATTTATAATTGATTTTATTTACTTTAACTAATTTACATATTTACATTTATTTTTATTTTATAAATTATTTTATTTAAACTAACCAATTTCTATATATAATAAATATATATAATTTATTTTATGTACTTTAACTGATTTACATATATGTTTATTTGTAATATATTTTATTTTAGACCAACTTTTTTATATATTTTATATATTTTATCTTTAATTTTTACTTATTCAATGCTTAAATATTAATGTTCATATTTTTAAGACCTTTGATCTTTTATTCAAAAACTTTCGCCTTTAGCTATATAAGTATACTTAGGCTATATATGTATATACAACCACTCAGTCATTATTATAAAATATATAATGACCATAATCATTGCTGTTGGGCTTTTGCCACACTTTATTTCATGCATTCAATATTCACATGGAGAGCTCAACTGTTTATCAGTTGAAATGGGGCATTTTCTGTGCCGTTGACGTCGCGCAGACAACGACACATTCCGCTCAGTTGTTTGTCTGGCTCCATGTGGGCCACATTGGAAATGTGTTTAAATTGTGCTTAAAATGCGCATTGCGTGTTGGCAGACACAGAACATGGCCCAGTTAACTGATGGCCCGCTTCATTGGTATGTGTGTGTGTGTGTGCAAGGCCCAGGTCGGTGCCTGAGTCTGTTTCTGTTTCAGTGTCTGTGAGGGCCTTTGGGACGGAAATCACTTGGAACTGCTGATGTGGCAGCGGCACCTGAGTACGTGGCCAAACAATGGCGGAGATGCTGCATATGCTGCAAGCGGATACGTGAAAATTTACAAAAGGCAAACTGCCAGATGATTGTTTGGCAAATGCAAAGATTTATCAGGGGGTGGTAGGTGTGGGGTAAATTAAGTTTCAGCATGCGTGCAAGCGGCTTATACTTGATATCAGTTGGAGTGTAGCTCTCAGCGTTTTCAATTTGCGAATCAATTTTCCATTTTTTTTTCTCCATATTTTTGCATTTGCAGTCAGACGCCGTTTAATTGATTCTGCCCTGCGGCAACTGTATAATTATATGACAGCATAAATTGATTTGACAGCCGACGGACGCATTGAGAGATGCGTACTGCTGACAGCTGTCAGGCCTGCCAAAGAGACAGAAAAAAAAATGGAAAATGCGAATATTGATATGCACACGCGACGTATGCGTGATTTGAATGTCTGCCCGGGCGTTGACGTTGCCTAGGCATCACTTCATTTCGGCACGCATTTATTATGCTCAGCGCACAGGACCCATTTCGAGTCCTGCTGACGGCCGTCATTAATATATGTGTGTGTCTTTGCCTGGCATTCAATTCTCCTTTCAAATTTGGCAGAGAATTTTTCTGAAAAACTTTATTCACACTTTAATGCGAGCGCTGGGATTTTTCGCAATCATTTAAAGCTTTAAATTCATCAGCTTAAGAGCTGCTTGCAGCATAATCCCTCTGCGTAATAAATCTTCCAAATTGGAATAACAATTACCACAAAGGCAAAGGCAGCCAGTCGAGCGTCTTGCTGCAACTTGAGTGCACTTGTCTCTGGGCAGCTCGAACATGTTGCAATGGTGAATGCCTAGACACAGCTGCTGAATATGCTGATGGCTTTGTCAACTTGCAAGGAATGAATAGAAAATATGCATTTACAAAAAAAAAAAAAAAAAAAAAAAAAGGAAAGGGAAAATATTCATACTGAATATCTGGCATAGCTGAATACTTAAAGTGCCACAACAGCTTGAGACAACAATTGAAATGCCGTTGAAACTGTGTTATTGATAAGCATTTGCTGGTTTGCCATCTCTTGAACAGTCAACAGGAGTTGGCTCAGCGTCCGGACTGGGCCTTTTGCTAATGGTTCTCCGGGACTGCTGCTACTGTGTGTGGTCAGCAAATCCCGCTGACAATGGCTGGCAATTGCGTTTGGAGCAGAGAATACCAACTAAAAGGGAGCGAATGGAAGAAGGGGAGTGGGGGAAAGAGGTGCAGAAGCCATTGCCATTGGTGCTATTGCAAATTGTGCTAACGCTTATTGCGCCAGAGGTGGTCAATAGCTGGACAAAAATGGTCGGTACTGGACCAATGCGTAGTAGTAGACTCTACTCATATTTGCACCACGAACACCAATTTACGTGATTGTGTGTGTGTGTGTGTGTCTGTGTATGCATTCTGTGGGCAGAGCATTTGGCTAGCATGTGTTTGGGTTTGCGATCAGCTCAGCTCTGCTGCCATTGTGCTTGTCAAACAAATGGAATTTCTAACAATTTGCCAAGAACACGGCAACCAGATGCTGTCAGATTAAAGGACATGCCTGTACATGGACACGTTAGGCCAGAAGCAGGAAAGATTAATTTATATGCCAGAGCAAACATAAAGATAGAAACTTGCAACTGGCATGAGTTTTATCTCAGATTAAGTTTGACCTTCTTTTTGGTTCGAGTGGAGCTCGAATTCAATTGTTGATTATGGTTTGATAGATAAATATTTCTCTTATTTCTCTGAATTTTTTTTAATACATTTGAATTTTATTCTATTCATTTCATATGATAAACGTTGGAAAAAATAATGAATATAAATATATATTTTTAAAATTATTAAATTATATTTATATATTTTTATACTTATATACATATTCTTATTTATAATTATATATGTATATATGTATTTGTATTTTAATATATTTTCATATTTATATATTTGTATATTTACATTGTTATTTACATTTATATTTATTTGCATAAGAAGGTAATATATATTTAAAATTATTTTTTAGTCTCTGTGTAAATTCTTAGAATTTCTTTTTATTTCACTTTTTACCAATGTTGTTCAATGACTTTTTAAGCAGCTCTTACCTCATCCACACACACACACACACAAACGCACACATACTCAAACAATAAATACCTACAGATGTAACTCTCACACATACATATATAATCCATTATAAAACTGTTTACATAGGGTTTCTTTAAATTGGTTTATTGTTGGGAATGTGATTGTGTGGGCATCCTGCGCCACGACTCCTGCTCGCCTGCTGTTCTCCTGCTGTGCGACTGGTGCTGGTTGGTAAGACCCTTACATCGTCGAGCGCTGCATGTGGTCTAAGCTGCCATTAATAATGCAATTGCCAGCATGGCCGATAAATTGCTGTGGCTTGACAATTTGCTGCTCGCACCGCAATCCAATAAAACAAACAAAAATTGCAGGGATTAAACCCAGAAAAAAACCAGAAAAATCATTTGATTTTTTTATTTTTGCCAATAATATATGAAACATGACTATTATTGGCTTTACACTAGTTTTGCAAATTGAAATTAAGTTAATTAGCTACAGCACGTGCCACGTTTCCATTTAAATCCGAGATGCGCATCATGATAAGCACATTATGCTGTTGCTGTCAATGATTATTATTATGGAGTGTGAGTGGATGGGAGTACGTGCTCATGCGAAATAATTATCCAAAAGTCAAAGTGCCTGATTCCATTGAATTTCATAGATATCCTCATATACATACATGAGTGTGTGTGTGGGCGTGGCGGTTATTTGTGTGCACAACATGTCGTATGAGCAATAAAAATGACACACAATAATTGTGCGTTATCATTGGGCATCATCTGCGCGTCTGCCTTTCTGTGTGGGCGTGCGCTAATTGAATTTTCGATGAATGATGAATGATGTTTCATTAGGAGCCGATTGAAATCATCATTATAAACAATTATACGGCCATGTTCTCAATTACGTATTCACATTCATTTCATTTCCGATTGAAATAATTCAATTGATGATGTTTTTTATAATAATTGAATATTTTATTATCCCTATTTGAAATGGTTTTCTGCAAATGTGTGTAATAGGCAGCACAAAGGCGTGGCAGCATTTATAATTTATTTATATTTGTTATCAGAATATTTAGAATACTCTCCCTCTCTCTCTCTCTCTGACCATCTGTCTGATCGAACAAGTAACATCGCAGTTAGTCAAGTCGTCATTTATATTAAGAGAGAATTCGATTAGAAGCAGCAGGTATTGCTCCCATTTGCCGCTCAATAATCGACACGAAGAACTAACTCTGATCAAGGTTCGAGTTGGAAAGAGTTGCGCCCGAACAAGTTGGTCTCTGCATTTCGAGAGAGCTTCCCCCTATATAAAGGCAGGCCTGGTGCTGTAGTTCTTCAGTTGTTTTCTTGGGCTGTTGGTGGTCGGTCGTGCAGAGCTCCTCTTCTTCTTCGGATTTGGTATGTTTTTAAGCAAGTAGTTGGTATATTTAGTATTATATGAGGTATTTTAAGTATATTAAGCCAAATTGTAGTCAATATAATTATTTATGATCTGTTTTATAAATTGTTATATTAATAATTGTAGTATTAAGCTAATGATCATTCTGTTAATGATCCTTATAGTTGGCCTATTATTTATATGTATTATTTAATAATAGGTATATGTAAGAGTATATGGGTAATACATTTTAGAGTTGGATTTGCTCTCCCTGGAATGGTTGAAATGGCTCTCCCTGGATATATTCTCCCTTGATCTATTTTCCCTTGATTTATTCTCCCTGTAATCATTCTCTTTGACTCATTCTGCCATGGCTCATTCTGCCAAGGCTCCTTCTTCTAAGACTTGTTCTCCCTGGACTCATTCTTTCTCCCAGGGCTCGTGCTTCGAAGGCACGCTCTCAATGGACTCATTTTGCATACACTCATTCTGCCTGGAGTCATTCAGAATAACCTCATTCTCCCTAGAGTCACTCTCTCAGGGCTCGTTCGTCGGCTTCTGCAACTGAGCAGAGAAAGAGGGCAAAATTAAATATAAACTCTAAGCCGTTTGGTCGCTCTATTATTATCCATCTCAAATAATATTCACACATATTCATATATTTATATTCACATATATTCATTTAATGCTCAACTGCTATTCTTGAACTGAGATTAAGGGTATTTTTACGTCGCGCGCTCCGCAATTCCTTCACTCTCACACGTTAATTTATTTAAGCTGTCAAATTCGAATTAAATTATCACTTGCCAAGTAAATTGGCTCAGCTCTGAGATGTATTAAGCTCTCCATTTCCTCAAAACTGAAAGTCTTCGTGGCACAAGTTGCGCCACAAGCTCAACGCCAGAGTCAGGTCCAACTTTAACCTAATTATGCACCCTCCAGCCCACATTCTAGACAAGATGAACTAATGTTGCTGATTACGATTGTAGTCGGAGCTGTGCTGTGCTGTGCTGTGCTGTGGTGCGCAGTGCGCAGTGGAGTGAAGTGGAGTGGAGTATGCTAAGCATTTAACAAATTGAAATTTATAAAACCTTGAACGACAAGCCAAGCCAAGCCAAGCCAAGCTAATGCAATGCCCAACAAGATTTGCTCAAGTCAATGGCTTCAATTTGCTTTTATAGCCACGCGAATGCGAACGGGGCGGGCGGTAAGGGCTGCCAACTATTTATCATAGCGAGTAGAACAACGGGCACTGTGGCGGTGCGGGTCGGGGCGAGGCGAGGAGTTGGCGTTGATTCCCTTAACTTGTTTGCAGCATCATTTGCAAAATGTAATTGTCGCAATTATCGTAAATTTGCGAGCTGAATTGTTGGCGCATTTAAGTAAATTTCAGTTTCTTTGTTTCACACTTTTGCGTGGCACTATTTCAGCATTAGGCAAACTTTTGTTAGGCGAAATCAAAACACAAAAATTGTCCAACAAGCCGGGCGCCAAAGGATCCCAGCCAAAGGACCCACAAGAGCCTGTTGCACGCAGCGAAAGCTTTCGCTCTTAAGCGCCAACCAAAGCGCGCTCTCTTAGCCAAAATAAGAGAGAGCACGTTTTCGGCCAATTTATTGTTGTTGAGAATCTCGAATTTGGCTTTTGCTATTATGCTAAGTGCGCTGGCTGTACTTTGATGCTGCTAATGGAGACTGAGACTGGGATTGGGATTGGGATTGGGATTGGAACAGGGATTGGGATTGGGATTGGGGTTGACAGCTAACATGAGGGCAACGCCTTGGCTGTTTATGCTAAACAAAAGCACATTAAGGGCCCTTTCTATATATAAGCTGATGTAAAGGTTATTAGGACAACAGACTGAGCGGCATTGGATTTCGAGCCGAAAGAGTAACCAACGGCACAGCAGGTAATATTAACTGGGTAATACAAACTTGCAGTTTTCGTAATGGAATTAGAAACGGGTACTATGCACAAAAAAAAACAGGAAAAAGAAGAAGAAGAAGAATATAATATGCACACTCTGCGAAGAGGCTGCCAGACAGCTGGTCGTGTTAAGCTGATGGAAAAATATATACAAATTGGATTGGCCTTAATTGCATTAGCTTGTCAGCTAGTTGGGTATTCATGGCAGCTGCCTGGCTAACGGAATATTTGTTCGGCTAAAGTGCTGACTTGCCTATGAACCGTGGGCCTGTTGGAAGAACAAAATGGAATTTGTACAATTAATTCTCTTCTGTTTTTTTAGGTACCATTAAAAAATATATACAAAAAATACTCGACAAATGTTTAACTAACTAAATTGCATTTAATACTAGAATTTCAGACTCATGTAAAATGCATTTGAGTGCCAGATGAAAAGTATTTTATGGCGATAAGGAGCGCAGCAGATTTCCCAAAAGGCATTCAGGAGCAGATTCGCATGAGAATCTATTTCTATTTGGGTTTTTATTACGACGCAAAGGCTTTGCCGCAGGGAATAGAGGCTCACACAATAATAGAGATTAAAAAGACTTATTTTGTTGCAACAAAATACCTTGTAAGAATACAATGGAACTGATTGTAAAGGCAAATCCTTATCCATTAGCCTTTATTTAAATAAGTCCTTGCCTTGAGCTGTGTTTCGCAGAACTGAATCGCGATGTACTTAAGCCAGGGTATTCGGAATGTAAAGCAAGCAAATAAATTTCATTGAGCTAAACTTTGATATCAGCTGATTTTATATAAACTATTTTATATATGTTACATATGGTGCATCACAGTTTGCATGCCCAACCGATATGCAGAGTATTTTTCAGTTGAGTTCATAAACGTCTTTTAACTGTCTCTTGCGAAATGTGAGCTTGCAATCACAGCAGCAGCTGGGAGGAGCAGGCAGAAGCAGGTAGGAGCAGGAGCCGGAGTCGAGTGACGCAACCAACCGCCCGGGGGATTGACATGTGCGGTAAATTCATCACACGCCCCTTAAGACCAAGCCCCCAAAAATGTGTCAACATGGCGGTGTGTCAAAATGCCTCGTTGTTAACCTGCTCGTCGTCGTTGCAGCTGAAAGCCGAAGCAGGAGCCAGCTACAGAGCTACAGAGCTACGGAGCTGAGGCTGATGCTGAAGCTGAAGCTGGGCTGTCAGTTTGCCTCACTGGCAGCTACACGTAACGAAATTTTAAATATGCAAGTATATAATTTCGGGGAGTACGGAACGCTGACAATCTATTAACACGTGATGACACCTGCAGCAGAGCTTGCTAGAGACAGGACGAAAGAAGAATGAAGACAGTGCAGCGAGGAGAGAGCGGGTGGCATTGACAACTAAATGTCAATTTATTTTACATCACACAAGAGTCAACGCATCAAAGAGCAAGGCAAGGATAGTGAAAGAGGGAGAAGCAGAGACAATGAGAAAAAGACATAGAGAGAGAGAGAGAGATAGAGAGAGAGAGATGGATATATGAAGAGAACTTTGGACAAGTTTTGACTTTCAGTTTTGCAAATGAGGTGCTGGAGACATGTGCAAAGTTTGCGATAAGGCACACACACAGACACACACACACACACATGGGCAACAGTGATGGCAAGGTGTTGAAGTATTTATAAGACTTGTCTAGGTGTGCGTGGGTGTCTGTCTGTGTGTTGTTTACAAGTTAACTGATTTATGTTTCGTGATTTTGGTTAGAAAGTTTGCATTTAACACATTTAGGTGACATGACAGAGCAGAACACAGGCTAAACGTGTCAGGCTGGCTATGAGCCTGTTTATACAGGTGTATTGTGCAGGTAAATGTAAAGCCAAATGTTGTATTTAAGTTAGGCGCAAATTTTGTTGGAAGGGTTTCCTAAGAGATTATGTAATGAAAAGATGGAGCTTAAGGTACTAAAATTAAAACTAGATATTATTATTAGGCACATTAAATTATTGTTAAATTTGTATATATACATTTATTTATCATTTATCATAGCCACCAGATTATGTCAGTTTAATATACTTACTGCATTAAAGTCCTCACCACAGCTCCGTAACTCATACGCCCCATTTGCCCAGGCGCCAATAGAAAAGTCATTTGACAAAAAAGAATGAAATAAATAGAAAAAATACATAAAAAATAAAAAGCGTTTACTTGCATTCGCTTCTTATTCATGGCTTCATTTAAATGGAAATTATTAGTGTCATTTGTAGCCATCGTCCCAGGCCCCAGGCAAAAAAGCAAAGAAAAAAGTGAAATTCTCATAAAATGGCCTCAAGGCAGATGGGGTCCGAGGGGGCGCAAGAGGCAGACGGCTGGAAACGATGTCAGGCACGGCGCATATGACCTTGGTTAAGATTCTTTTCGTACGGCTTCGTCCTGGGGCCCGTTGTCCTTTGGCTTTTTGCGGCGAGGGCCAACCATAATGTTTACATAATTTACTTGCGTTTTGCGTTTAAAGGTTTGAAATGACTTTTTAATTTGGCTTTTCCGTCTTGAGTTACGCGACCAGCCAACAACAACAACAACAACCACGACAACAACAACAGCAGTTACAACAAAGAGACATACAACTCGAATAAATATGCAAATTTCAGCGAATTTTATTGAAAATGTTCTGCAGAGCGGAAGTGGCAGACAATCGGTAGCGCCACGGCTGAGCTGAACTGAGCTGAGCAGGTGGGCAGGTGAGCTCGTGCCATATGCGTCAAGCTTTTGTTGCCTGCCTTCGACACTTCTACTAATGCGCAGACAATTGATATCCATTTCCCATGCAATTCGCCAATGAACATAAGAAAGGCACACAAAAATTAATTTTTTTGCAGACCTGAAATTTATTTATAGAATTATTTACATATTTGGATATAATACTAATTTAATGCATAACATATAAAGTTATATATAAATTTCTTCATTTGTTGTAATGTGAAGATATCTGGCTGTGCTATTTTAGTTTGATAATTTATATAAACGCTTTGATTTTTTTTGATTTTTTTAAATACAATTTTATTTTAATTTTATTCATAAATTTAAAATCTGAATTTTGAAAATTGGAATTTTTAAAAATATTGTTATTATTATAATTTATTAATATTTTTCAATTACTTAGAATGGCTGAAATATTTTTATTTTTATTATTATTTTTTTTTAAGTAAAATGCACTACAATTTTATATTTTTAAATTTATTAAAATAATTTATTCATTATAATTAAATTTTTATTAATTTTATAGTTTTTATTTATTGTAATATAATTTTTTGCAACCATACATTTTTTCTTAAAATTCATTAAAATAGTTTTTTTTTTTTCTTATATTATTAAAATAAAATATATTTAATACTTTTAACACATAAATTACTTCATTAAATTTTCATAAAATAGCTATACAATCTCCAATTCATACCTTAAAGTTTATTCAGCTTTAACTCTTTCTTAACTCTATCTTAAATTTCTTTTTGCAGATTTTCAATTGCGGAACGTCCTTTGAGTGCTTCACACATTTCTCGCTTGCCCATTGATTACCATACTGGGCTCTTTTACCGAACAAAGGAAACGTGCACAAAGGAATTGCAGCACACATTGAGGACCGTGTGCAAAGCTGATTGTACGTATATAAAATAACATATATATATATATACTTAAAAAAAAGTTAATTATGCATTTTTACTCTTACCTGGAATACCTTCGCTTGCCAGTTGCAGATAAAAGCCAAAAGTTTCACAGTGAAAGTTGTCGCAAACTTCAATGGAAGACACAACTCAGCCGGCAGCAGAGAGACGCACACATACAAAGAGAGTGAGCGAGATAGATAGAGAGAGGGCATACGTGAGTAGTTGCTATTTATATTGCTTGTTTGCATTGGGGGTGTGTGTGGGTGCAGTCAGTCAGCTGGCAGGCCAAACAATGATAAACCTTCGAATGTCCTGCTTGTGAAAAACTGTCAGCATCAGCACAGATAGCCGGCATGCAGGCGCTCTCGACTGGGGCTCATTTGTAATTCAACTTTGACAGTGGATGCTCAGCTAAGCAGACATTGATGTGTGGCAAGTGAAGCAGCAGCAGCAGCAGCCGCAGCAGCAGCAGCAGTAGTAGTAGCCGCAAGAGCTGCAAGAGCAGCAGCAGCAGCAGCAGCAGCAGCAGCAGGAAGGCAGTGCACGCCCTCTGCCTACACTTGGCATCGATCACACAGGACGGCTGGCTGGCTGGCTGGCTGGCTGGCTCAACTCTTTTGCCAGGTCACGTGCTGCACTCGGTGCGCCTAATGGGCTCCGATGCAATCTGCTGCTTGTTGGCTGCTGGCTACATTTCAATATTGATGCATTGTGTGGCCACAGCCGAAGCTAGAGCCTGGGCCGATTCATGCATAATGCTTTAACCTGACCCTTACGATTCCCACCTGCCCTCACCCCTCACACTTCACACATTTTGCGGTCATGCCAATTCGGGGCAATTACTTCGCATGCCATTTGGCATAATTAATTTCAATGTCGTTGCCGTTACGGTGTGTACTTGATATATGCGACACATTTAGGTGCTCGTTGCCAAGTAATTAAATATTTTCCATTATAAATCAAGCCCTGTGCAGTTGTGTGTATGTGTGTGCGCGTTCTCCGTTAATTTACAGCGCGTGAATATGCGATGGCGATTTATGAATTACCCCAAGCAATTGCTCAACTTGAAAGCATAAATTATTCCATTTGAATTTCCGTTGAATACATGAAAATATCAACAGCAAGCAGCTGCCCCAAGTAATCCAGTTTTATTTCTATAGCTTTTCATTGTAATTCCTTGTCGCATAAAAGTGGAGTTTCAAGCTGATTGATGGGCGTGGCATTACAAGCTTATTTTGCATTTCTCTGCTCCCAACATCTGGGTTAACCGTGAAACAAAGAAGTCCAAAGCTAATCACATGCCCTGAGCCCAACCACAAAAACCGCAAGCGAGCCACAAATTGCAAATGCTGTCGCAAACAAGATTTAGTTGCATGGGCCAAAAGAACCCCAACCACAAATTGCAGTACATTCAAGGCTTATGCTCCGACTTTGCTTTCTGTTTTTACTGTCCCTCAGACTAAGGCCCGTTTAAGCTCTTCAAAGTGCTCAAGATCGAGCTCAAAAAGCATTGCCTACTTTTCAGGGCGCACGAGTTAAGTCGAGCTGAGTTGAGATGAATTCTCGATTTTTTTTTTTTTTTTTTTTTTAAGTATGCAGAGCAATCAACATGTGGCAAATGGCATTTACTTTCGCATTTCCAATGAATATCCAAACAGTTTAACAAATAAACGCTAACAACTACAAATAAACCAACAAATAAATAAATAAATAGAAAGCGTCGAGCGCACAAACAACAAAAGAGCTGAAAGGCAAATAAAAACTGAAAGCCAAAATCTGAAAGTGAAAAGTTGTATACAAAATGCGTTGTATTAACACGCCAGCCCACGCCCACACCCCCTCTTTTCAAATGGAGCCCAAAAATACCAACACATCGTCAAAGCACACACATTCACCCACCCACCCACACACACACAGACACACACCAACATTTATGTGCAATCCGTCCGACACGTATGCTCTACGTGCGCTTGCCTCGCATAGCCAACTACTCCCCTTAAAGCTCCACCACCCAAGGCGCTGTTGGCCATCAATGACACGCCTTCTTGGCCCCCCTGTGGTGGGCGAACATAAACCCAAAGCTGAAAGCCAGTAAAAACAACAACACGAACGCAAAACAACGAAACCCGATGACCTTTGCCACTAAGATGTTAGACTATGTATGCGTGTGTGTGTGTGTGTGTGTATGTGTGTGTGTATGCTTGGCAAACAACTCATTTGTCATGTGCTTTGCGTTTGTTTTGCTAAATGCGCATAAAACTGGAAGATCCGAGTATAAAGAGTTTTCGAAAATGAACTATTCAACGCGGCTCTGTGAAGGTTGCAGGGATCAAAGCTCCTCATATCCTGCTGGTACGTGCTCTCAAATAATGAAAGGATAACACGACACTTCCTCGAAATATGCCTACAATCACTATAAACTATGTTCATGGCAGAGCGAGAGACTTTTTGGGTTAAATCTTCTTCAGTTTCTCTGGATGTGCGTCTCTATCCTTTGCCCCCCCACTCAGCCATCATCTCTGCTCGACTTGCCATGCAATTAGCTCTGTTGTTACCAATACAATACAGCCGCAACAGTCTGGTCCACACTTTTGGCTACCAATTAGAGTCCATTATGCAAAATAAACACATCAATGCACGAACACAGCCACAGTCAATTCACATGGTATTCGGCAGGAGGAGAGGGGGTGGTGGTGGGGGCAGCACCTCATTTGCTGCCACAAAAATGAGCCTGCAAATTGGCGCGGCTGTAATGCAATTTACATGCCATTCTATGTGCGTGTCAGGGCCTTGTCGACTGTCTGACTATGTGAATGTTCGACTGTTCGACATTCGAATTAACGGCGCATGGAAGGCATAATTAATGAGCCATGCAATTGATGCTCTGGCCTCGCATACTCTGTAAGCCCCAAGTTATCGATGATGTAGTGAAAATTGCTATGTGAACACATATATAAGAAAGAGAACCATAAGAGTAATAATTATGCTGGTATTGGTATGATACGATAGAGGGTATTTTTGATTCGACTACTTTACTACAGCATTCCAGAGAAGCAATTTAAAAATTAAAATGACCATTTATTTTCGCGATTCATTGTCGCCTACATTCAGTAAAAAAGAAGGTTAAATAATATAGACTAAATAAATGAAATATATAAAATAAATATATTAATTAAAATAAAACAAATGGAAAAGAAATAAAATAAACTAATAAAATTTAAATTATAAAAAAAAAATAAATAAAATTATAAATTGAAATCATTAAATAAAACAAGAAATAATTTAATAATTAAAAAAAAAATAAACATAAGTAAAATAATTAAAATAAATAAATACATACATTTAATGCAAAACCCAACAATCCAGCTGAGGTCTGAAATGATTTTGGGAATGCGCCACTTAACTATCTGCAGCTATGAACAATGTGAATTGGTCAGCATAGAAAATTGTTGTGGTTTGCTTTGAACCCACAAACGGCACAGAAAATAAATGGAAAATGTGGAATTTAATGCGAGGGAGGCATGCGGGTGAAGCTGAGCTGGATAAAGCAATAGCAGCAGCAAAGGACATGCTCTAGGACATTCCCACATATGTGTGTTTGTCTGTGTGTGGCTGTCTGTGTCTGTGTCTGTGTGTGTGTGAGGAGATGAGCAAACATTCCTCTAGCTGAAAATTAAATGGATTTCTATTTGGATTTGGTTGGCATTCAGGCCAGGCAACTACTTGACATGCTCTCTCCGGTAAGTGTATAAAAGTGCGTTAAAGTGCGGCTGACGACTCGCAGGCGCAGGCAGTAATGTCCCTTTTTTTTCGAGTGGGCCTGGCATGGCTTGGCACATCACCTACGCACCTATCTACTTGGCCCCTCGGGCCTGTGTCAGCGACACCGCTGTCAGCATGTGGCTGTCAGCCGAAGTCTTAAGTGTGCGTAATGATTGTGGCAACCAAACTGAACTCGAGCCAACTCGCTGTGCCAACTGCCAGCTGTCGACTGTTGACTGTTACGCCCACTTGCCCATTTGCTGTTCCCTGTTCCCTGTTCACAGTGAAGCCAACTACCTAACCAGGCCCCGAGGTGCTCGTCGTCATCATCTGGCTGAAGCACCATCTAGGGAAAATAGTGTTAATGATGCTGATCCCGGCGCATTCGCCTGACAGCGTTAAGTCCTTTAATGGCATTTGCCTGTCTCTGTCTCTGTCTTATATTCACTCACAAACTCTACTAACTCTACTGCATCGCTCCCTCTCTCTCTCTCTTTCTCTCTCTCTCTCTCTCTCTCCCTCCCTCTCTCTCTTTGCCTTTATCTATTTGGTCAAGTGGTTAAAAATTTTATAACCATGTTGCGTACTTCAAGTGGCAATTATTTTCGCAGTAAACATGAAACGCGCACAAGAACTGGGCCAGCTAAAAATGGACAGAGTGGAAAAGTTTTGAAACTCACTGCAATGAAAATAAAAACTGAAAATTGACTCTAACCGAAATACAGCTACCTGAAGTCAATGCTGAAATTGCAGCAGCTATAAAAAATGGTTTATTATGTATATTATTAATAAAAAAAAAAAATTAAATAAATTACATGTAAATAATGTAAATGTAAATAAATACAAATATATCAGAAAGTCAATTAAAGACTTTTTTGGTATTGTTTATTATGATAATAGCAATGAAAAATATTTTCTAGGGCATAAATCTGCATTTTGAATGCTTAAATAAAATATATGTATATAAAATAAAAGAAAAATTTACTTATAAATATTAAAAAGTGTCTAAAGAATTTCAATATGCATTGATGAATTAAATAAATAATGAAAACAATGACAAATATTTTGTTATGCATAAATATCAATTTAAAAAATAAATAAATTAAATTAAGACAAATACATACAATTTCACTAATAAAGATCAATATAGCTGAACCAAATTGATGATTTTTCAGAAATTCATTTCAGGATTTGTACGCTCAGCATTGCTTATGATAATAAACCAATCAGTTACAGATTTATATCAATTCGGGCCATTAATATTGCATTTTTCGTGGCTATAAATAGTTACAGCCCAAACGAGAGACATATGTATTTCCAAATGTGACTGCCCTAATGCGTATGTGTGCGCATATTAAGTATACGCAGCGGTGTCTGCCACAAATTCCCCATTGCTTTCGCTCTGTGTCCG